TCAATATCATCCCATAAGGATCTAAACTTTCTAAAGTGTTGGTGAATACCATGTCTTCTTGGCTAAATCATTGATGGTCCACTTGAATTCAAAGATCCCACCCAAGTCGGAGGTAATCTCATAGACTTTTTTTAAGAGTTTCCCAAACTGTCTTAGTATAGGAGTAAAACTCAAAGATTGATGCTTCAAGGGAGTTTTCGATGATAACAAACAATTGCTGGTCCTCTTGAAACCACTTACTTTCATAAATAATGGTAATTTCCTTGCCATTTTGTTGGATCGTTTGTTTTGGAGCGTCGTCTTAAGTTACATGACTCCATAAATGACGACCACCAAAGTTGTCCTGACAATTTTAGACCAAAATAATTAGTTTACCCTTTTTAGGGTGATTGAAACAGTCACTTGTCTTGATTTTTAAATGACCTGCTTTAGACAAATAAAGAATAAAATAGATTGGATGTGGAAGAGATAAAGAGAATATGAGATTATTGCTTTAATACCATGTAACAATATGAGATAAACTTGAAAATCTATATTATAATAGTACACTTTCTAGGCTCCACAACGCGCCACGTCAGCAGTTTTGTGGGTCCCATAAGTATTTTTTAAAAACTTATAGTCTTGGTAAGATGATTACAAACAATGAAATACACTTTAGTCAAGTGGTATAAGGTGTCTAATAATGAATGCAAGATCCTGGGTTCAAACCACGCAGCCATCATTTATTTTTGATTTTTTGATTTGGGTTATTTATCATATGAGCTTTTTATTTGTAAGGTTTTTATATTTTTTTTATGGCTTATTGTTTTAAAGATCAAAATAGTTGGATAAACCCTAAAGCTTAACGAGTTCAAACCAAAAATAGTTAAAAATGGATGCAAAAATGAACAATAAAAAAAAAGGCAAGCCTCACGCGGTTGCCTACGCGGATGGCTTAAAGAACCTTAAAACTATCCTATTATAATATAGTTCAACCCAAATATAATAAAAAATGAATCCAAAAACGAATCGACCAAAAAAAAAAGTGAATCCCACGCGGCTACCCACGTGGATGGCTTAATGAGGCTTGAATAATATATATTAAGAGCTCAAAAAGTGAAATCATTGCACATATTTCCTAATATATATTTTCAAAAAATTTGTATGTGAGATAAAATAAAAACAACAAAAATTAATTATTTTCGTTAATTATTTAATGAATATGTAATTTCTCTTACATTTTAATAACTACTATAATTTCATTGAAAACATTCCTCACCACCGATTTCAGACTTCGGCGAATGGATTCCCACAGTCGATGACGCCGTAAATAAAAATGTCACATCATTTATGAACAAAACTCAAACTTACAAAAAAAACATATATAAAAACCTATCTAATGAAACTTAAACAACGAATGTTAACTTAATTAAGGTTATTTTCAAATTGATAAATTGTTTAATACAAATATAAATACTATAAATATAGAATTATATCAAGTTTTGACCTACGATATAAAAACTATTTACAGCAAAAAAAAAACACCTACTTTTACACACTAAAAACTATATTATAGCCTAACTATTCCTTTAAACCTTACTTCGCATATAAATAACATTTAAATCATTCCTAATATATTTTCAAAAAATTTGTATGTGAAATAAAATAAAATAAACAACAAAATTTAAGTATTTTGTTAATTATTATATGAATATGTAATTTCTCCTACATTTTAATAACTACTATAATTTCATTGAAAACATTCCTCAATCCCGACTCCAGACTTCGGCGAATGGATTCCCACAGTCGATGACGCCATAGATAAAAATGCCACATCATTTATGAAAAAAACCCAAACTTACAAAAAACCATATATAAAAACCTATCTAATGAAACTTAAACAACGAATATTAACTTAATTAAGGTTATTTTTAAATTGATAAATCGTTTAATACAAATATAAATACTATAAATATAGAATATGGTTTGGATTTGGTATATATCATATAAACCGAATGGATATGATTTTATAAAAACCGTAGGATTTGGATATGGTTAGGTTTATAACCGATTAAACCGAATAAACCGAACAAAACCGATCAAAGAAAAAATATATAAATATATACATTATACACCCATTTATTTTCTTGGAATAATCTTTTTTTTTTTAATTTTTTTTCCTTGTGAAGATATATCTTAATAGTTTTATTTTATTTTCTTCAACTCTTATCTAAATTTTATTTGATTTTGTATGTTGTAAAAAATTGTGAAATTAGATTGTAACATGTAATTTATTTGGAAGAACAAAGAGAAAATAAGAAAAACTATACAAAACTGAATCGTTGGTCGTTTTGTTTGTTGTTAATCTCATATTTTTATATTTATAAACACCTAGGATTATTTTAATATATGATAGTTTTGACAATATGTTTTTTTTTTAATTCATATAATATGAAACCAAATCAAATAATAATGTTATTTGGTATAAAACCGAATAAACCGAAAACCGGTAGTATAAATACCGAACCAAACCAAATTAAATATGGTTCCAATATGGTAGCTAATTTTTATAAAACGAATAACCGAAAAACTGAAAAAAAACGAACCGAAACCGGACCGAACACCAGATTGAACAGGCCTACTCTTACTAAATTCTTTCCATTTCATTATTATTTGGTATCATTAGAAGAACCCACTAAACCACTAAATCGAAAAAAATATACTCAAACATAATGATTCCGGCCCCGCGTTTGCGCGGGGAGTATGCAACTAGTAATTAAGAATAATAGAGAGTAGATAAAAAGATTGTAGAGAGAAATTTAATTCTCTTAAACTTTACAGTTGTGGATATAAGAGATTATAAGTAGGTTTAACTTTTTGGGGAAGCTAAACAAATTTAACTTGCTAAAAAACTAAAGTAAATGTAAACATCTAATTTTACTGTTGACCTATGTTCACAAGTTACTTTCTTCAATTAAACACATAAGAATATTCAAAGGACAATAGATAGAATAAGAAATAGGGACCAGAGGCGAACAACATTCAAAGGACTTCTAATAGATCCACTAGAGGCATTAACATAAATTTAGCTGATACTCTGCCCCAAAGCACAACTGATCAACCGAGTGCTGCGACTAAAAAGAGTAAAGCAAAAAATGTAATTATGTCTATTTTTTTAGAATTCTTGTGATTTTAACAAAATAAAAACTTTATAGTGAGGAAATGGGTTACATAAAGGGATTTTAATTCAGAGTTTTATTGGTAAGTAGAGTAAAGGAATAATAAATTGAAAGAATTTTGTTGGCTGTCGTTTGAAATTGGTCTATGGTATCAAATTATGAGTATCATACCCTCAGAATTTGGTTGGTGTGGAAACCCGTGGTGCGAGTTACTCCATTCCTTAAAGTTGTGGTCGGTTGATCACGATTCCAGCGATGCTAGAAGAAAGGGGAGATGAGTTATTTTACTCCATCAACTACTCATATATGCAATAGAAGAAATGAAATAACTATTGAAGGATCCTAGGAACGGTTTACTCTTCTGGATCAGATGAGATATAAACTCCGGAAGGAGAACTGATGGATTGAAGGGTCGTACGAAGGTTACGGAAGGTCTCCAATATTCCCGACTCCAAGTGGTGCTTGAAATGACTCACAAGTCCACCAAATGAAGGATCTCTTGTCGTTGTTTGATATGACTCACAAGTCCAACAATTTGAGGAAGTGTTTACTTGAATATGATTCCCCAAGAAACAAGACAAGTTCTTACAAAGAACAAAGAGTTTAATTTAGAAAACGTAAAACAAAATCAATTTATTAAAAATGATATAGTACTTGTGGAATGGAAAGAGACAAAGAAAGACTCTTAGAAAATTGAAATTTGACTAGAAGTTTGAAAGACTTAGAATAAAACTCTTCAGTTCCAGATCTGGTCAAGGAAAACCCTTCAGCTACTTGTACTTGTCAAGATGACCCCTCGCCTACTTGGACTGGCCGAAATGACCCTTCGGTTCCGTAAGGAGAAGAATGCATAGGGGCCTTTTGGGATAGTCCGCGGAAAGAGTTACACGACCCAACATGTCACCAACACGTCCTAAGTCTTTGGACAGCTGAAGAATCCTTGCCTT